CAATTAGCTGAGACAGCCTGGACCCTGCTGCGGGCTGGGGAAGGCTTGGCTGCCTGCACCCTGCCGAGCTCCCTTTGAATAGTGCCTGGCACCGGTGCGAGTGTTGGGCGGAGGGTGACTAATGGCATTGCGTGCGTTTATGTCACTCAATTCTTCCTTTGACTCGGTCGTCACAGATTTTAGCATGCACATATTGCAAAATACAGCTTCTGGCTACAGCTCCTGTTTATCTGCAGGTGTCCAAAGGATCCTGATGCTACTTGATTCCCGTTGGGAAAACTCTGGCTGTTTCAATAAGCTCAGGGGCATGGGAGATGGGGGTGCAGCCTCTGTGCTGCCCCGTGCCAGAGCAGGCAGAGTCCGTAGGGCACAGCGGGACTCATGCCTATTGCTGCATGGGTGTGCGGGGATCGTGGGGAGCCCTCTCTGCTGTGTTGAGCTGAACTCGGGGGCTTCTTGGTGCTACAGGCTGTGATCAGCTGGCCGGCTGGAGCCTGGGGATCAGTTATCGGTGGTGGGAGCAGTGAGCAGCCCAGGGCTGTGCTTGGTCAGCAGTCTTCCTTCTCCTTTCCATCTCATGTGAGCAGGGCTGATGCCACGAGTCACGGCGTGCTTATGATGGCACAGGGCAGAGGAGAGTCAAGCACAGAGCTTGGTCACTCATTTTTAGAGCAAGAGTCACAGGCTGCAGTCCCGGTCTGGGACTGGGAAGCCAAATTGTCCTGAGATACTTGAAACTCATCACAAACATTATATAAATAAAAGGCTACTTCAACTCAAAGAGCCAGCTTGCTGCCCAAATTGCCAATTTAGCTTCAGAGACAAAGCTTTTTGGTCACTAGAAGATACTTCAATGTGACTCGCAGGAAAAGCCTCGTATTTGGCAGAAAGGGAGACCTCCCAGCCACATTTCATGACTGTGATGCTGTGCCTGCCAGTTGGAGTGGAAGGCTCCAGCGTGCTTTTGGGGGCACCTGCTGTGCCACCTCCTAATGCTGCCATCGGCTGTGTGCAAGAGAGGGGGAAGAATAGATGTCTTCGGGCTGCTGACCACTTGGCTTTTAGGGCACTCCCCGTCCTGTCTTGTTTGTTGTAATACTATTTTTATTTATATTTTAATATTTTTAACCCTGTGACATGATAGCACCTTTAGTCCATGTGGAAATCGTGGGGGATTTGAGGATGCCTGGCACTGACAGTGCTTCCAATCCTTTGCTTCAGAGACGTGCATGAGTATTAGGAATACATTTTTTTAATATGAGAAGGAAGTACATCTGTTTGGCAGGATGGAGATGTGCAGAGAGGTTCCCCGGTGATTTGAATGATTGCAAGCTGCTGTGTAGCAAGCAAATTCCCAGGTTTAGAAGCTGCATTCAGAGACTGAAAAGCTGTGCTAAAATATAGCATCGCTTGATTGCAATCTTTCAAAATGTTGTGACTCTTCTGTGTGGCATAGATGCCTCACACCTTGGCTGAGACTGATTGCTTTACACCAGATACTGTGTGCATAAACAAGGATCCAGGAACTGGAGCCATGATTTAAAAAAGAAAAAAGGGGAAATGGAAGTCTGTCTTATCTTGATTGAAGGTATACTAAACATCGGGGATAAAATAACTACCCTTGAAACTGGTGTCAGGGGAACTTTTACTTCTGTATCAGAGATTTGTTGTGTTCCCCCTCACCCTGAAAAACCTGATTCTTTCCGGGTCCTTCCAGAGACTGCAGGATTTCTAGGATAGCTAAATTCCAAGTAAGAGTCAGGTTTCTTTTCCTGAAAGTTAGAAAAGGACATGTATGTGAAAGTTAATTGCTGTGAACTTCTGGAAAATAATTGTTACAGCCAACTAGGTAATACTGAGATAAACTGAGGAATAATCTTCCTAAGTGAAGTGAGTTACATAAATAGTTCCTGAGTTATGACAACCTTTTAAAAAAAGAAGTGTGAGGTCTAATTCCACATCCTTTGCCTTTCTCTTGCTACATCTAAGCAAACCTTTTCGTAAGGGTGGGGATGGTGAAGGGAGAGCAAAAAGAAAAACCAGTAGCTAGAACATAAGACTGGAATAACTAAATGTCCAGGACCAGATGGAGCCCATCATCAAAATTAAAGCAGTTCTTGTGTCTCTGGTTCTCACTAGAGAACAACTGTGTTTCCTTCCAGGGTTAGAGGTCAGTATATAACCTTTACCCTATGGAGACTTGTGAATGAAGGGGAGACCAAACCAAGACTTTCGTCCGTGCACCAGACCCATAAGCCTCCAGAAATGGTGCTCTTCCCTCCGGCTCTGGGTGTGGGGAGTGAGCGGGTGGTCCAGCTGCTGCTGCAGCTGGAGAGTTCCCCTTTGAAGTGCTGGCGAGCTGCAGCGTGGTGAAGGCCAGGAGATAGTATGGCGTCCTCCCCCATGTCTGTCCACGCTGCATTCCCAGGAGCTTCCCTCCCGAGGATGCCTACTTCCAAGGCTTGGGAGAGCAGACCATCTCTGGAGGCTTGAAAAGCAAAACCCCTTGTAGCTGCTGCTTGTCCCTTCTGTACCGGGAGGCCAGAAGCTCTGCTGCTTTGGGCATGGCAATGAATTGCTGCTGGAGCCCTCGCCTTGCTGATTAGCCCAGGAACTCATTCTCTCGCCCTGTGTAAGGGCGGCTGGCGAACATCCACGTCTGAGCTATCTGGACCCGGGAGGGGAATTGCTGTGGGCCCAGACGTATGCAGCCTGTATGCGTTCCACCCTGGGCTGGCTGCCGCTCGCCAAAGACATGTCTAACTTGAAACTCTCCTCCGTGTGCAGTTCGTTACAGGGGATGCTGCTGTGCTCTGTGCAAGGAGGCTTTCCTAGGGCTTGGCTGCTGCGAGTGCTGGATTTGGTGCTCAGAAGGGAATGGGGGGAGCTCCTGCCCAAAACCAGCTTAGCGTGGCCTCCATCAGCCTTGGGGTTTTTTTCATGGCTTCCCCTGCGCAAATGTTTGTCGTTGCCTTATGTGCCATGGGAAAGGACTTGTGAAGGCAATAAACCAGCAACGTTTTTCCCCCTGCCAGTGTGTTCCCTTGGTGTCAGTTGCTGAACCTGCTCCTCACTGATTTACTGGAACCCAACATGGAGGAGGAGAGGGACCCTGCTGGGAGCTGTGTGTTGTTGGCAACTAAGCTCCAGTTGTGGAGGCTTTAACTTAACAGTTTAGTCTACAGTTGTACAGAAATAACACCCAGCTCTTACTTGGCTCTGAGATCCAGCGATGGAAAGCCTGTCTGCAAGGGAGGGAGGACAGGGTGACCTGCCTGATGGAGAGGAATGGGCAATTTGCTTGTCTGCAGTCGCATGACTAACATTTTTCTTCCACCCCCCTGCTTAGTGTTATCCCTGGGAACCTAATGGGAAGCTTTGCAGTGGTGTTTTAGTGCCCTTCGTAGTACAGTCACTTGCCAAGTTCTCCACTGAATTAAACTTCTCGTGGGGCTGAGAGCTGGTTGGGCTCCAGAAATACCCAGGAGCCTGCCCATGATCACTGCCAGGTGGTTGTGGACTTCTCCCTGCACTCCACAGGGCTGCCTTTTATAGCTGGTGGCCTGTGGCAGAGTACTTCGAGTTCTCCAGAGCTGGATTTTTCCTTGGTGGGATAACAACAGGGAGTTCTTATTTGCTGAAGACCTTACCTGGTCTCCCTCATTAGCGCTCCCTAAGCATCACCTTCCTTTTTCTTCCCAGCTCCTGAATGCATTAGCATAACCTTAAACTTCAGTCAGTTTTATTTCTCGGCCCAGGCACAACTTGGAGTTTGCTGCTTCTCTTTCAGCCCCCCAGGAAAGCTGCCTGGGAGCTTTTCTCTGGCAGGCACAGGTTTGCTGAACAGGTTAACTCTCCCCTCATGGCTCAGCCACGGGACATGTCCTTTCTCTCCGGTGACACCCCCATGGCTCTGAGTCGCTTTTCTGTGTGCAAGTTAAAATGTCCATGGTCTCCTGGGTTGGCAGGATGCCCAAGTACAAGAAGAGAGTCACTTTGCCCTTACAAATCAAGTTTTGAGTTAATTATCTGTTTGCTTGGACAGAGTGTGTCCTTGTGCATTGGGAAGATAATCTTGTGCTCTGGACTAGGGTCAGAGGAGTTCAGAGCTTTGGCAGAGCAGCGGGAGGGAGGGAGCGAGCAATGGGTGGCTCCCCAGGGGAAGGACAGGGGCCATAGGGCTAGTCAGGGACTTGAGGGCTGGGTGCTCATCCTTGCGCTACCACGGATCCTGGGTATGGCCACGGGCAAGTCACAAGTCACTTAAACTCTGCCTTGGCAAGTGGAAAGGAGTAATTCAAGGAGATGGAAGTTAAACTGGGGAAGATAGTGGAGGGGACTGGGAAGCCAGATGCCCAAAAAGAGGTGGATAGTAAATCCAGTCTGCGTGTGGAGGTGGATAGTAAATCAGAAGTATTCATCAGATGTGTTGTAACAACCTAATGTGGGTATGCTCACAGAAGTACCATGCCACAGTCCTGCTCTGCAGTTTATAAGCACAGCAGTAGGTCTGGGGCATCGTATCACCTTGTGGAAAGGAGGGAGGAAGCCCCAGATCTCTGGGGTGACTGGAAGAGTGGGATCTTCCCCCACTAACATCCCATGGGCTCCGTGGTGAGTAAGGGCTTTAGTAAAGGCTGGCCATGAGTCCCTGTTGAGTTTTGCTGGGGCGTTAGTACGAGCCAGGTTGGGCTCCCTGGCTGGAATGTGGGGCTGCTCGGATGGTGCTGGCAGAGGGGGAGCAGAAATCACTGCTGGTGGATCAGCATGGATGTAATGGGAAGCGAAAAGCTTGGTGGGACAGTGAGATACCTTGGGACGTAAAAGGATCTCACGGTATTATGGTGCAAAGCCTCTCTCCAAAGAGTTGTTGGGCTGCCTTGTGCTCCTAGGAGTAAATGTATAGCGGAAAAGCATGCTCGGAACGTCCCTTAATGCTCTTGTGGTCTTCCATGGTACTGTGTGACTGCTGGTGTTCATTTGTTCTTCCTTGCTTGCAGTGCCTCTAACCGTCATGGGGGATGCCGGCATGGAACTGAACATGTCCCCTCCCGACAACGCTGCACAGCAAGACTCTCTCTTCAGCATGACGGACGTGTTTCTCATCTCGCTCATCACCGGGCTTTTTACTTACTGGTTCTTCTTCCGCAAGAAAAAAGAGGAAGTTCCAGATATCCCCAAAATGCAATCAATGTAAGTAACGACTCTCAGGCAGCATGGAGTGAGTGTAGCTTTCCATTGTGCTTATGGTGGGTCCTTGGAGGCTGTGCGGGAAGTTCAGCTGGATTCTGGGAAGTCCCCGGGCGAGGGGACTTAGTCCCAAAGTGCATTTCTCTCCCCTTGCGTTTCTTCTGAGCTGTTCACCTCGCAATGCAGAAATCCCCGTGGAAGAGCCAGGCTGCAGTTCTGCTGTACCCCGCTGTGTGGCCCAAATCGGTAATTTGCCTTTCCCAAGCAAAGCAAGAAAGGGCAAGGCAGAAAAGCCCCTGGCTGTACTTCAAAACTCTTAAGGATTGCTTTGGCTATTCTCTGTGTTTTCTGATAAAAGTCATATTTAGATAAATCTGGAGAAAGGTGGACTTGCTTTTAAGCAGGTTTCCTATCAGAAATCTTATCTACCCTTAGCTAGAAAGAGAAGAAATAGTCTTGGGGAGCTGGGAGATAATTCCTGGGCATGAGCTGCTTGGCAGCTCTTGTGAAACCTGCTTGGCTTTGATGCCAGGTTACCGCAGCAGCAGGAGACTGGATTTGGAGAGGGAGAGGTCCTTGTTCCACCCTGTCTTCTGCCAAGGGCTTAGGGCCAGGAGTGAGCCGCATTGGTGGAGATCTGGGTGCATTTAGTTCCTTGTTCTCAGTCACATACCAAACTTAACATCAGTTTTCTGCTGGGCTTTTTAGCTCATTCCTTCTGTTTCCTCCTGGAGCATTGGTAAGAGCAGTGAAGAGGTTTGAAACCCACTGCAGCAGAGACTGTAGGAGCTGGTGTTGTGCAATACCTTTCCCTTCAGTCTCCTGGGATCTGTTCTCTGCGTGGGTGCAGTTTGTCCCAGAAAGAAGGCCAGCCTCAGCCTTAGCCCAGCTCTGCACTTTCCAGTATTAGGCCTTTGCAGAAGGTAACCACACAACAAAGGTGAATCCTCTGGGTTTGTAGTGCCGGCTGAAAATTCACTGTAGCCCCCCCGCCCCAAGTCCTGAGTGGTAGGCTCTGAGGCCATGCCGCGAGCAGGGGAAAAGCAATGGCTGGCTGCTCGCAGTAGGTTCAAGATTTAACATGTACAGTTGCACCAGCAAGGTGTCCTGCACGAAGTGGTTTTCTCCCCCTGGCACTTAGCGGGTGCTGCTCTGGCAAGAAATACTCATTAGTCCTTCATTTCAAAGTGTTACAGCCTGATGCGGAAAGAAGCTGTGGCAGGACCTGTCTGTAGGCTGCTCAGATGAGGATGTTTGGTGACAAGCGAAGGCATTTCAGCAGGGGATTGATGCTCCTGTTACCCTGTGTGTAAAAGCTAAATCAAACACAGCAAGTGGTTGTGGGTCTGTCATCTCAGACCTGTATGTCTACCTTAGTGGGTTACGCTGCTTTCAGTTTTCAGGGCTCATCGTCCAGTGTCTGTGTTGAAATTCAGGTGGTAATTGAAAAGGAGCAGGTTTGGTCTCATCGCTTCCGCTTTGGTCAGATCATGACCCTCTCCTCTGGTGGCAGAGCCCTCTGCTTCAAGGCAAGCCTCGGATGCCAGGTCTGTTGTGAAATCCCCGGGTAATGGGAAGAGTAGCACACAGCTCAGAGCAAACCCTGAGGCAGGCTGTGTGCACTGGTGTTCCAGGAGGATGGAAAGCGCATTTTCTGGCTGGGAGGGGTTTAAAAGGAAGAAATGTCCCTGGCTGCGGTACCTTGTGCAGACAAGTGTGCGCAAGGCTGGTAGCAACCCAGCTATCTGTGCCTGCTCAGCCTTACCTTGGGAATTTGTTTTGTTGGATTGGTCAGATACTCTCCCTCTCATGCCTGCAAGAGAGGGCTGTGTGTATCAGTGCATGAGGTTGCCTCTGGATATTGTAATGAGAACGGCTGCATTGTGATGAGAGCTAAGCTGGCTGGAGAAATGGCACCATCAGTCTGAAATTAGATCCTGACATGGCACAGATCGACTTGGAGAGCTCCTGTGCTCACCGTCCTTGTGACTGTTTCCACCCACCACGTGCACCTCTTCCAGAAGCTGTCGTGACCTTGCAGAGAAGTCACTCTCCAGAGGGGCCTGCTAACCACCCCAGGTGTGTGTCACCGCCTTGTCCTGCTGCAAGGACCTCAGCACGTGGGCTTCCATCTGAAGCTGGAGGCTTTGGCTTTGAGCTGACTCACGGGTATTTTGCCCGTGTTACTTGTGTGGGGTCCGTGCCGCCTTCTCCATCTGCGTGGGAGACGGCTGGCAGGGAGCACTGTGTGCAACCGCTGCTTGCGAGAGTTGTGGAAGAGCAGCACCTCCTCTCACTGATAACCAGGGAGGGGTGAGGTTGCTCCGGACCTTGTCTGACACAATTCATTTTGGAAAAGTGACAGCTAGGCAGGTGAAGAGCACAAGAAGAGGCTTTAAAGTAGTTTTTGCCACACATGAAGCCTGACCCTGCCATTGCCTGCTGCATCCCTGCTGTGGTCATTGTAGCAAGCCGGTCTGAGGGCAGCGTGGACCTATAAGCCAAGGTTGTGGCTGGTGGCACATCTATCCTCTGGGATGGAGACAGCAACTTCCTGCAGCTTTTGCAGCATTATTTTATGGGACACTTGGAACTGGGAGGGAAATGAGTGGGGAAAACAAGCTTGTTCAGCCTGGGGTTTCCTTCCCTCCTGTCGTCCTTGAGTCTGGGGTGGAGTTTCCTTTCTGATGAACAAACAAATCGGCAAGATACGGGATCACACTCTCAGGCGCTGCCGCTGGCTGGCTGGCTGGCAGGCAGGGGCAGGCCCATCTGCAGGCAGGGAAGCTGTCCCGGACCCGTGAAGGCAGAGAGCCCTCGGCGGGGCTGTCTCTGGCTGAAGTGGAGAGCCTTGATCTTAAGGGGTGTTACTTTTCTTCAGCACATTCTCTGCAGCTCTGCCTTGACTCGCCAAACTGTCCTGAACTGTTTTATCTGATGGTATTGGGTGATGGTTTCTGTTATGTCACTTTGGCCCCCAACTTCAGCTCCAGCCTTGGAAGACTGGAGGGTGAAAGTGCTGAACAGCAATTCAGACGCGTCCTGATGGCTGCTACTTTAATGGGTTTGCTTGCGACGTGGGAGAGTGCAAGCAGAGTCTCTGACCTGAACACAGCGTCCAGCACCTTGGTGCTCTCCTGGGGTTTTTGGGGGCCGCCACTGAGCAGCACACCTCGATCAAGACACATCAGCTCAGCCGGGTCTCCAAAGGCAATGCCGCTGCTGCAACTGCCCTTGACTGTGGAAGAACAGATGCACGGTCAAAATACCCGGTTCTGGATGGCATCTGGGCTGGGTTCACTCCATGTGGCTCCACCAGCCCGCGTGGCCTGGGAACGGTCACAGTCTTGCCCTGATGATGCGTCTCTGGATTCGGCTACCGCTCAGGCGCTTGCTGATCCCTTACCCTCACAGCCGAGCGGAGCTGTTCTCCTGCCTGAAGCCCCAGAGAAGGAGCAGAGCCCAGCATGTGCAGAGGCTTGCGGCGTACAAGATGTCCTGTACCTGTGTTGTGTAACACGCATGCGTGGGGCAGGCCGGGATACCGCTGACTGAGGATTGCTTGTGTTTTGACCATTTTCAGACTTAATTGAAACCACCGGAGCAGCCTTCCCCGTGGCCTGTTCTGCAGATGTCATTAGGAAGAACGGCTCTCCATCGCCATGCAGCCGTGGCCACCGTGCTTCCTCGCGGTGGCATTGCTGGGGAATGCACTAATTTATTTTTATTCTTCGGCTGCGCCTCCTCTGCGTGTTTCTCAATCACAGATTTCTTCCCTTTCTTGTGTCCCCGCTCTGGAGTTGTGCAGACTGTTGCCCTGGGGAGACGCAGGCGAGACATCGATTGGTACGCTGAGTGTCACCCCCCTCCCTTCTCCCCCCATCTTTGACATTGTTTGGGGCAGAAATTGGCTTATCTCTATTCTGCAGCTATAGAGAAATCCGTTCCCTGGTGCTTGTAGGGCTTCCTGCGGCAGGAATTGCTCCAACTCCTTAGTCTGATTAGCTCTCTTTGCTGCCTGCGTGTGTGTGAGAGAGAGAGAGAGAGACCGACCACCTCTAATTTAATTTAATAGGATCCTGAAGAGAACAAACTCCTTTGAGCTGCCTCCGTAATGGCACTGCCATAGTTACCCGTAGCGTTGCTCACACAGTGTCTGGAATCGTTTCATTCAGCTACAGTGTCGACTTTTTTTTTTTAAAGAATATATATAAAAGCAGCTGTGATATAAACAGTTTCCAAGGTAACAAGGCTGGGGGAGGGTTTTGTGTCCCGTCCCCCTGCTCCACGCGGGTGGGAGAGGGATGTGTGCTGCAGAGGATCCTGGGAGGTTTCATTCTCCACTCCTAATTCCTTTCTGCCACTGCTGCCAGATGTTGCAGTTTCTCAGGACTGTGCGGATCCACTCGGTAACTTCCAAAGCCCCGCCACGAGGATCTGAGCGGACAGGACCACTCCTGCTATGACCCGTGCCGGGACCTTTTGTGCTGCCTCTCTTCTCCTTAACAAAAGGCTGACGCTTGGCTTTAATGCCCAGGAGGAGCAGAATGGAAAGGCCTGTGTGCGTGTTGCTCCAGAGCTAAGTTAGATCCGTCCCCCCACACCTCCCCTTGCAGACAGACACGGCTGCCCTGCGACTCTTTGTCTGCCTCTTCCCTGCCCCGACCATGGGCTGCGTGTACTCGGCCCCGCGAGAAGAGGCGGCCGTGGCGAGGTGAGTTAATCTGCCCGATGGGCAGGCGGGGATCGCTCTGACTCGATGGGTCACTCCTGCCACCCCAAAGCTGGGCGGAGTGGGGTGCTTCTGCCTGCTGGGGCAGGAGGAGAAGGAAGAGGAGAGGCTCCGCTCCAAGGCAGGCTGCTCCAGAGGAGACCCTGCTGTTGGTGCTCAATTTCTCTGCAATGTCCAGGCTGCGTTCTCACTTCTGGATGTACGTGTGCTTTCGGGAGGAAAGCCACAGGTGTGGGAGCTTTCTGAAGGAGAGGTGTTCGGCTGAGACAGAGGCTTTGGTATTAGTGCTGAGCTGTCGGGAACGTCCTTCCCCCTCCTTTTTTTCTTCTGAAATTAAAGTGGTAGAGAGCCCTGGGAGTCGCTTGTGCTGTGGGCTCTCACCAAGGGTGGGCATTCTGTACAAGCTAAAGACTCGCTCCAACAATGGAGTTAACCCCCTTTCCTCTACCTGTCACTTCTTCTAACTCTCTTGGAGTCGCTGCCCTGAGCTATCTAAGCTGTAAGAGCAGTCATTGCTGAAAATATGCTTTCTCTTCTAAGTTTTCCTGGCTGAGCAGTAAAAATGAGTGTCACTTCTGTCTTCAGCGTCTGTGCGTCTTTGCAGCTCAGCTTTTCGAGCCACCCTGATGAAGCAATTTCAGGGAGTTGCGTAGCCTTTTTTCAAAAGCCAGACTCATTATTGCTTCTGTGTCTGAGCCACAGACTGTTCTTCACCACAACCCTTCAGTGCAGGGTTGCCTCCTTTTGAAAACGGACGAGCTCCGCGTGCTGCACCCTTTTCTCTTCCAAAGGGAGCTTGCTGAAAGGATCTAAAACTTTTTTTTTTCTCCTCCTTTAAAAGCATTTTGTTTAGCAGTTGACCCAACAGCTATTTTAATTGGATCTCATTTGCAGAGGTCAGTAAACCAAAGAGGTTCACCAGAGAGCCAAAAGCTAAGTGAGAGCTGAGTCTTGTGAGCCGGCTGGGGGGGCAGCTCCCCCGAGCCCCCGTCCTGGTGGTAGCATGGGCAGGGCTGGGGCTGCTCTCTAAGATGCTTGTGATACCCCTGTTCCCAACGAAGCACAAATGACAACATGGGGAGGCTGTTAACTGCTGAGAGAGCAAAGTGGGGAGTGCAAAGCAGCTCTCTCCTGGGAGCACGGCCGCCTCAGGTAGCATTTTTGGGTAGGGTTCGCTCATCTTCAGTGCGTGCTGTATGGGGCTGTGTCAGTGCTCGGAGCTCTCGGGCCAGGTTACGGAGCTCCTTGAAACCTTTGGGTAGAAAGGGGTGCTTGAAGACATGCTTTGCTGAATGTCCCTCACCCTGCTGTTCTCTGTGTGTGTGTGTGTGTGCACGCTCTGCAAATGTCTCAGCACATCCGCAGAGATCCCTCCCTCTGGGCTGCAGAGTTTAGGAAACTGTTAGCGAGCTCTGCGCATTCTTACATGGGCTGGGGCCAAAACCATTTGTGTTTTGCCTGGAGGCTTCTCTCTTCCCACGGGAGACCCAGCCTTGCATTCTTCCGTTGTGAAAGAGAAACGGGAATGGGTCCCACGTTCCTCCTCCCAGCTACTGAAGCTCCAGTGGGGAATACAGCAAGTGAGCTCCTGGCACTTGTCGTCCTGCCTTGAAAAGACCCCAGCGCCTAATCTGACTGTAGCTAGAGCCACCTCTGCTTGTGAGGCTCCCAGGGTCCCCAGGGCTGGGTTGCTGTCACCCTGTGACACTGAAAGTCCATGGGTGTGCTTAGGATAGCAAAGCTCTTCTGGCTTCCTACCTAATAGGGTAGCCATAGTGGTGTGAATCTCTGCCTCGATGTTTCTCATGCTGCTGCGGTTTGTCCCTCTTTTGAGATAGAGAAAGCTGCCTCCCTGTGATAATACAAACGCCTTCTGTGCCGGAGATCTGCACTGGGGACAGAAACCCCAGCGCGGGAACGAGCCCTGCGGGACTTCGGCGGGCAGCGGTCGCCTTGCTGGAGGCTCTGTGGGTCTGATCAGCTGCATCTGTCTGCTCCACAGGGCTCTCCAGCTCTGGGACTCCGGTCTGGCATGCTATTTTGAGGTTGGAACAGCTGGTTTTTAACCCTGTCTGACTTCAAGCTTGGGGAACGCACCCTGGGGGGCATGGCTCAGGACCGATCCTCTGCCTGTCCACTGTGGTCAGGGAAGCAGGGAGCTCTCCATTCCCTTCTCTCCCATCGTGGCTTGGCCTCTGAGATTTTTCTGGAGACTTACTCCTGCATTGTAGCTCTATGAGGTCCTTGTAACCTGCTCAGCTGTGAAACCTCTCAGAGCAATTGATAGAGTAAAGTTTTCCTGACGCTCAGGGCCGAGTTCCTGGGCTTTGCCTGCGGGAGGATTTACCGATGGAGGTAAGGCAGGGCGTCAGCTATTCCCCTGTGCTCTGAGAGTCCCTGGTCCATGGCTGTGTGCAGAGGAGAAGCCCTGCAGCTGAGCGATGGGTATCCCTGTGACAGGGTAAATAAGAGTGGTTGATGGGGACTCTCACCACTTTGGGTAGCCGTCTGAGATCTGGTATGGTTTGGGGGCCACTGTTTCCCCACTTGCTTATTCCTGACCTTAAAGAATGAACGTGCCCATCTGAAAGGAGGTTCCTCCTGTCTTTCAGAGCAGCTCCGGTGAGAGACAGCAGCTTCATTGAGAAGATGAAGAAGACGGTAAGCTTCTCGCTCTGGCTACCCAGCGGGGTGCTGGGAAGGTGGGGGAGCTCGTGTCCTTCCTGGTTTCCTCTGGAGACTGTCTAGCTGTCAGCAGGGGGGACTGGTTTGGATACAGACACCTATCTGCTGCAAAGAGCATCCAGAGGAAGGCTGGGTGGGCAGGCAGGAATAGCTCTTTCAATCTATGCCTGAGAGTTGTTCTTAGAGAAAAAAACTGAAGTGAAAATTTGGTGCAAAAAAAAGTGTAATATGAGATCAAAGTCAGGAGGGAAATGGCAGAGACTTTAAAGTCATTGGCTGGCAGTTGTTTATCTGCGTGGTTGGTTCCCAAACTGGCTCACTCTGGAATGAGAATTGTTGTACACAGAACTGGCAGGTTTTGACTCTGCTGGACTGGACACAAGAGGAAGCAGAGGAAGAAGCAAGGACTGGATGTGTATTCCATTTTACTTCAGAGTAGCTGGCTTGCGGCAGAGCAGGAGCTCTGGTGCTTAGGCACTTTCCCAAAGCTTAGCCAAGTCTGCTTTCTCATCCAGGGAGTTCCCTGTTTTCAGGAGTCACGCTGCAGCCTTGAGGTTGAGAATAAATCTTGAGGGTTTATTCTTTGCTTTGGGTTTTAGTCTGACCTGACTCACCCCTCTGAGATTGACAAGAGTCATATTCTTATTAACAGCTTAGCCTTGAGTTTTCTGCCGCAAACCCATCGTGGAGTCCCGTACAGGTGCAGACTCCTACTTGCCTTTAGGTTGCAGCCCAGGGCTCCTGATCCCAGGTGTTGCCTTTGTTTCTGATAAGATGTGCTTCGTCCGTGCATTTGCCAAATGAGTAATAAAAATTTAACAGGGATTTCTTTTTCTCTCCAGGGGCGAAACATAGTGGTTTTCTACGGTTCCCAGACAGGTACAGCAGAGGAGTTTGCCAATCGTCTCTCCAAAGATGCTCATCGCTACGGCCTCCGGGGCATGGCAGCGGATCCAGAGGAGTATGACTTGGTAATTTAGCCATGAACAGCCTCAGGATAGGTAACATCCTTTTAGTGTCCCCTAAAAAAAACCCAGAAGGAGCCTGGCCAAGGGACAGTTGCCCTTTTAGTAGTGTCATTTAGGGGAGAAAAGGTCAGCCTGAGAGATGCAGAGATGGGCTTGGTCCTTGCCATTCTACAGATTTGGAGTGAACGCTGCAACATAACTGAAAGAGGAAGGTAGCCTGGAGTGTTTGGGAGTTGCGAGTCATCCATTGGCAGCATGAACCTTGCTCCGTATTCCTTCTGTAGTTAGTGTTGGTCCCATACTGCTGCAGTCTTGGACAGAGGCATTGACATTGTGGTGTTCGCCAGAGTGAACAACGATCCTGGTCCCTTAAAGCCTTGTATGGAAAATCTCATTGCTTTTCTGGTGGGGTAGAAGTATTGGCTTGCAGTCCAGTGAGGGTGGTTAGCTTTATTTTCCCTGCCATTTTGGGTGGGTTTGGCCTTTCCCAACCCCTTTTGTAATCAGCTGTTTGACATTACATGGTGCTGTTCTGCGCACCAGAGGCAGCTGTATTGTAGGAATAGGCTTGCCCAATAACCATGTTGTGGGATCCTTGAGGGTTTATTCTTTCCTTTGGTTGTAGTCGGACCTGACTCGCCTCTCTGAGATCGACAAGTCCTTAGCTGTGTTCTGCATGGCCACTTACGGAGAGGGTGATCCCACGGACAATGCCCAAGACTTCTACGACTGGCTGCAGGAGGCCGACGCTGACTTGTCGGGTCTCCGATTTGCAGTAAGCGGCTCAATTCCAGTTCATGTTGCATTTGGGCAGGAAAGTCAAAAGCCCTCCACTGTGCCTGCGCATGGCTTGGGTAAAGGCACAACATGATGTCTATGCCTTGTACGCCTGTGTCGCATGCGGTCCCTATTGTCTTCCTCTCCAAGCTTTGTGCACACTTGGAAACATGTATCTGGGGGCTTTAAATGCGGATGTCGGAGTACTCTCTCCATTCCCTAAATCACAAGGGATCGCTGGTAATGTCTTGCTACAAACAGCCCAGTAGGCATTGGATTCAAGGTCTGTAAATGAGTTACAGGTTGCTGCTGCTGTTCAGAAGCTAACCGAGCAGCCCTGGGCCAGATCTTCTCCTGCAAATTAAATTGCTTGGAGGAGTGTGTAGCTCTCTTCCTGTGCTGAGCTGAGTAACTGGCTGAGATACAGCCACCTCACCTAAACCCCGGCCAAATTCCTTAGGCAGCATAATAATTGCAAATGAGGAGAAAATCCACTGCTGGAGACATTAAGCTGCTCTGTATAAAGCAGTGAGCAAACATTTGCTGAGCTGTTTGTGGGAGGCAAGGGACAGCAATTGGTCTCCAGGCAGTCCAGGCTCTTCCTGGTCCCTCGAGGAGATGACGCAGGCAGCTCTCCTGTGTGCATCCTCTTGACATGCCTGAGGCCTGGCTCAGGGGAGGTGGTGGTGCCTACTGACCAGACACGCTCCAGTGGTAGATTCTTACTCAAGGTCCACAAATAGCTGACGGGGAGCTGGGAGAGGTCTTGCTGTCTTTCTTCAACATCCTTTGCTGGGTGATACTAGCCAGAGGATGCCAACTGGATGGGAAAAGTCCGGCCCCTGCTTATCCATGCTCATCAGTGTTCCCTTCCAGGTCTTTGGGCTGGGGAACAAGACTTACGAGCACTTCAATGCCATGGGAAAGTATGTGGACAAGAGGCTGGAGGAGCTTGGAGCCCAACGCATCTTTGATCTTGGGCTAGGAGATGACGATGGCAAGTGAGTAACTTGGCTTTAAGGGCTGGTCAGAGCTGGCTAAAGCATCGTGGAAGGGACCTTGGCAAGGAGTTGGCTCTACTACTAAGAGAAATAAACTCCATAGGGCTAGCTGTGGGAGCTAACATGTCTCTGAGCGTGTATCTGTCTGCTCTCTCTCCCGCAATCGGATCCCTGTACGCTTAGAGTATCCTGTGTCTGGGAAATCCCACATCAACTTTAAATGACCATAGTTATGTACTCGAGGAGGCTTTGCAGCCTCCTCTGCCTGTGCCCTGCTGCAGCTCTGTTGCTAACCCAGCCTGTATGGATAAACTCACCCATCCCTGTGGAGGAGGCAAACTCCATCTCCTTGTGAACTGTTTGTTTTATGGTGGAAGGCAGCAATTTTCCAACTCAGACAATGATTTTTCTTTTTTTTTTTTGGGGGGGGGGGGGGGGGGGCGAG